CAATCATACATCCAAGAACACTTGCCTGAGGGGTGACTGTTGTGTATCAGTAGTGAGAGAGATGGTCTACTCAGAGCAAATATTCAGTCTCACCATATTTCAAGTAATATATAGCCTCTCTGAATTATACATGTTAGTCAGAGTAAGTCATCTATACTAACCTGACACAAGAGTGGTGAGGTTCTATGCACACATAGCATTAATAGTGTGGTTCTTGGGACTCAAACAGACAAGGTACACAGGCTCGCAAGCTTAGTTTCTATACAAGAATGTGTTCAGGAGACTGTGACAATAATTGATGACACTTCCAGAGAATCAGACTATAACTGAGGAAGAACATGAACTCTTATTGTCCAACCATCCGTGAAATGTGACATTTCTATAGGTGAATTATGGGCAAGGTTGAAAGCGGTTCTCTGTAATTTTTATAGTTTTTCAACATTTGTGGGATAAGGTGAACGTGACGTGTGTGTGAATAACGAAGTTCGAAGAGTGGGAAAAACTCCCATCTTACAGACCTTGTTCTTTCAAGCATGCTGCTGAAATTAACGTACAAAAATGGAATTTAAAGGAAACTCCCATAATTCAACCACTCCGAAGTCTTATTCACTTGTTGTTGTTTTTTCAGTTTGTTCTATATTAAATTGATTCATTTTGAATTAGCTATGATTCGTTGTTTTTTCTAGTTTGTTTTCCAAGCTCAATAAATATTCATTACATTATGTTAAAATACTAATTAAAAATAAATTTGACACAAATAATTTTATCGTTATTTTTATTCACTCAGGATGTTATCTGGGCAATGAATACTTTTCCGAAGGAGCTCAATTACCTTTTAACACAAATAAACCTTGTGAAGTCTGTTATTGTATCAGGAACAGCAGTGAATGTGTTATGCAAGAATGTGCTCTTCAGGTTGAAGGTTGTTCTCCAGTCTACCGCGAGGAGGCGTGCTGTCCTGTCAGATACAACTGTTGTGAGTATAAATATAGTCACAAAACTATAAGTTTAACATGAAATTAAAACATATAGTAAATAGTTAAGTCAATAGTAGAACAGTTTATTTTATTTTTAGCCTGGTATCTTACGATACTAAAAGTTTATTCTTGTAAAGGACCCTGAGTGTTAAAATACACAAAACATTATTATTTTATTTTTAGTATTTTATAATTTCCAACAAATGTTTGGTAACTGATTTTATTTACAACAGAACTAACTAGTGAGAAAGTTTTAATTTATTTGTTGAACTAACTAATTTTGTTTTCTTGAGCGAGATGAGTGACTTTATATCTTTGACACTAGGGTAAACATAATGGTGTTCTAATTTTCGTTTTTTTTTCTATAATATAGAACAGATTTTTAATAATAATAAGCTTACAAGTTTTAGAGTGTACTTAAATTAATATGTAGAGTGTTTGAACATGATGTTGACAAATGATTAATTTTTACTTCTGAATGTATTGAAATTCCCGTCGAGCATGTGTCGCGCTGTCATTGTATATCATGCATGCTGCAACGCTCTTCAATTGGTCTAATGAAATTCTTGTAGCTACTGTGTCGGATGTTTAATGCTCTTGTCTCTGAATCACTAGTAAGCAATTTTGTTAACATAATTTCCGCATAACCTGTATATTTCTTTTATACAGTAAGATGGTGAATAGATCTGTACTCCTAGCAGTAAAAAAAATGGTATTAGTTGTTTAGACTTTCTCAAGTTCTGTATTCTGGTAGAATTAATCTAATCTTCGCTTTGCTACTTACTATAAATATGAAAAATAACAAGAAATAGTATTGCTTATAAAAGCTCCCGGAACCAATGAATTAGTTTTGTTAAGATATGAGTAATTTATAGTTTGACAGTAAGATTAATATGACCTATTGCTACCTTTAAAGGATATGTAATGTTTGAGTCAAATCAAACCTTATTGTGAAATTAATATGTAGTCATTGTTAAGATTCGGGGTCCTTAAATTTGGCACTATGTGTCTTATATTTATTTAGCATTGTTCTTCGTACATTGAATAACACTGGTTGTTTCTATCATGATCTTGTTAGCTACATTGTCATCAACTACAAAAGCTCCAGAGGAAGATGACGAAGATGATACAACGGGTACGGAAACCCATTTTGATATTGTTTTACTTTAATCTACGTTATTCGATGAAAATTAAGATATTGTTATATAACTGTTGTGCCCATAACATTGCAAAAATTATTTACATTTTAATATGCTGCACGTAGAATCCAAACTGCCATGAATAAATTATTTGAGAATTCACACCAGGTAGTGTCTCAATTTTATCAGTAAAAGTTGATAAACAGATAAAACAAACCTGGTACTTTGGAGCATGTACAGCAATAAAATCATATTTGTAAATATTTATAATATTTACGGAAATACGAAATAACTTTAACATCTCGGAGAAAGGGGCTACCCCACAATGAGCCTAGTAAGCGGAAGTAACGAGTGTGCATGAAACAGGAAGTAACGAGTGTGCATGAAACAGTGGTAAAATATTAAGTGAGAAGGTACTTTTTCAGGCAGATAAGCGATGGATGAAATGAAAATTTGAACTTTTATTATTCAAAATCCCCGCAGCTAGAGCTAGTATCGATAGCACAGCAACAATACAGTAAACAAGATTTTAACTTCCGTCTCCCAGTGGGACAGCAGTAAGTCTACGGACTTAGAAGGCTAAAATCAGGGGTTCGCTTCCCCACGGTGGACACAGCAGATATTCCAATGTGGCTTTGCTATAAAACAAACCAACCAACGAATAAACTAATCCGTTCATTACCAAATTACAACATAATTATCTTATTTCATATCCTACCAGTGCTGACGACACTGTAGAAGACACTAGGATATACTCAAAGATCTAACTGATTGTAAGCCGATCTGAAAGAAAGGGTTGTAAGGTCTATAGACTAATGATTCTTTTCATAATAGAATCCTGGGTCTTTTTTATCATTCCTGTATTGTTGCCTCAGATCATCCCTTTTTACTGGTTGCATGCATTATTGCGTTACTCTACTTTTTAACAGTTCAATGTTAGTTCCAGTTAAATCTATTAAGGACACATAATAATGGCGTGACATAATCGACGGTTAGGCTGATTTCTATACTTAGCTATCGTAATCCTTCAGACACTTATAAAGTCAACTAAATTAAACTGATAGTACCATGAAATACTAAATCTCTAGACATTTTTTCCTAAGACTATTAGAAAGAGTAACTTCGAATTCCAATAATTCTTACTGTCAAACATATTGTCAAACAAAAACAATAATGGAGGAAAGTAGATTAAACAATAATGGTTAGCTGAGAATATAATAAATGGTGAAAATTAATGTAATTGTTAGACGCTTGTATTAATAATTACTATCGTATAAAGAATACGCAAATCATGAACCCTAAAATGGTGATGTGCCCCACAGGCGGTTGTATTATTAACGGTCAAAGGTTTGATGATGGAGAGGCCATAGACTCGGACGATCCTTGCAAGCATTGTTATTGCATGAGGAATGAGATGATCTGTGCTGTTCAAGAGTGTAAGCCACCGAGGGAGAATTGTCAGCCTTTGCCACCAGAAGAAGGCCAGTGTTGTCCTGAAAAATACGAATGTCGTAAGTAAGCTTAGTTGTTGAAGATAATCTATACCGAACTGTAGTAGAGCTGCTAAAATAAACTTAACGAAGACAAACACTGAACACTGAACTTGATTAAAAACAATACTTTGTTATCTCACATAATTTAACCTTATTAATAATCACCAGCTATCCAGGTAATCAAAGAGTAACAAATATATTTATTGCTTAATGTTATCTATAATAAGCGGTTCGTGAGGTAAAACAAAACAACAATGTGTTCTTATCTTTTAGTACACCCCATTAGGCAAGGTCACAATAATAAACAGACCTTGTTTATTTGAAGAACAGTATTGTAAGATTAATATATTCTTTATATGGTATGATGTTTTAGCAGTGACTCCGGGACCCATTATAGATTCTACCCAAACCACATCAAGAGAACCTGACACAACTGCTGAACCTGGTGTCACCACATCAAGCGAACACGAGACAACTGTCGAACCTGGTGTCGCTACATCAATAGAACCAGACACGACTGTCAAACCTGGTGTCACTACATCAATAAAACCAGATACAACTGCTGAACCTGGTGTCACCACATCAAGAGAAACAGGCACGACTTTCGAACCTGGTGTCACCACATCAACAGAATCAGAGACAACTGCTGAACCTGGTGTCACCACATCAAGAGAAACAGACACGACTGTCGAACCTGGTGTCACCACATCAACAGAATCAGAGACAACTGCTGAACCTGGTGTCACCACATCAAGAGAACACGAGACAACTGCTGAACCTGGTGTCACCACATCAAGAGAACCAGACACGACTGTCGTACCTGTTGTCACTACATCAACAGAATCAGAGACAACTGATGAACCTGGTATTACCACACCAAGAGAATCAGAGACAACTGTCGAATCTGATGTCAGTACTTCAAGCGAAACTTTGACAACTGGTCAAACTATTGTGACTACAGAAACAACAACAGGTAAAAGACCGAAACCTACCTCAATTACTATAAATGATAGCAACAAAAACAGCAATTAAAAATTCTAAATATGTCAAAATGAATACTGATTATGCTCATAGAGTAGCCATTATAGCATATTTATCTTATGCCAACATTATAAAAAATTGCATTAAAAGCAACATAAAAATCCACATGCACACAATAAAACGTGACATCACAAAACAAAAATGTATCTAAATAACAAGTGTTTTGAATTCAACCACGTGTGTTGTATTATTCGAAAAGATCAAAAATTGTGTTGTAGTTGGGAATTCGAGTTTTGTTGTTGTGTAATAAACACATTGTTCGTGTAAATTGGTATCACAGTGTCCTTACAGTCACAATTTACATCATTTCTATGGTATATATATATTTACAGCTAGAGGATGCCTTGTCAATGAAAGCTATTTTGTTGATGGAGAAATTGTTAGATCAGATGATCCATGCCAGCATTGTTACTGTTCAAAAAGCGAAGTCATTTGTGCCATACAAGAATGTAAACCGCCAAGAGAAGGGTGTAAACCTCTACCACGAAAGGAAGGACAGTGTTGTCCACAGAAGTACGAATGTCGTAAGTGCTACTACTTTTATATTGTTTACCATTTTAATGGTTGAAATCTTTTTTTAACATGTTCCATTTACAGAAAACCAGATAAGATTTATAAATATTAATTTAATAATTTGTAAAACATTTTAACTATTGTTTATGAAAAATTTATTTTTTATTTTTTCTCCTATAGCTGCCAATGAAAATTTTACCACTGATGATGCTGTTACTTCACCAACATCAGAAGAACCAGAAACAACCGAAGACACTAACATTAGTACAGCAGGAGGACAAATAAAAACTGATGAACCTGCTACTACCATATCAGGAGAGCCAGACACCACTAACGACACTACTATAAGTAACCACAAATGAAACAGAGACGACTGATGAACCCGCTACTACTACATCAGGAGAGCCGGACACAACTGACGACACTTCTGAAGCTACAACAAACGATACAGAGACGACTGATGAACCCGCTACTACTACATTAGGAGAGCCAGACACAACTGATGAAACTTCTGAAGCTACAACAAACGATACAGAGACGACTGATGAACCCGCTACTACTACATTAGGAGAGCCAGACACAACTGACGACACTTCTATAACAACCACAAATGAAACAGAGACGACTGATGAACCCGCTACTACTACATTAGGAGAGCCAGACACAACTGACGATACTTCTGAAGCTACAACAAATGAAAGAGAGACGACTGATGAACCCGCTACTACTACATCAGGAGAGCCAGACACAACTGACGACACTTCTGAAGCTACAACAAACGACACAGAGACGACTGATGAACCTGCTACTACTACATTAGAAGAGCCAGACACAACTGACGACACTTCTATAACTACCACAAACGAAACAGGGACGACTGATGAACAAGCTTCTACCACATCAGGAGAGCCACACACAACTGATGACACTTCTGCTGCTATCACAAATGAAACAGAGACAACTGATGAACCTGCTACAAGTACACCAGAAGAAACAAACGCAACTGACGACACTTCTGTTGTTGCTACAAAAGAAACAGAAACAACTGATGAACAAGAAACAACGACAGGTAAAAAAAGTCTTTGCTATAAACTGACCTCAGCTAATTTAAAAACCTTAGTAATATGAATTATTTTATTATTTATTTTGTATTCTTTGTATGATTTCTTTTGTACTAATTTTCGTAGCTGGAGGGTGCTTTATTGATGAAAGCTCTTTTGCTGATGGAGAAATTGTTGGATCAGATGATCCATGCCAGCACTGTTATTGTTCGAAAAGCGAAGTGATTTGTGCCACACAAGAATGTAAGCCACCAAGGGAAGGATGCAAACCTCTACCACGGAAGGAAGGACAGTGTTGCCCTGATAAATATGAATGTCGTAAGTGTCAGTGCTTATATTATTAAGTAAAGTAGTGTACTTAATAGTAGGGACCGTGATGAAACAAAATGGTGGCCATAAAAATCGCCCGTTTGAAACCACCTTTAAAATGTCTGAATAGTAACAATGACTATTTCATAGTATTGGCTTATTATACCTATAGAGCTGCCTAAATCGCTGTATATGTGTCTATGGAGTGAATCAAAATTTCAGTATTTCAAGTATGTAAGTAAGTGACTTTTCCAGACAAGTATACATGAAAAAAGACAAACCTTATCGCTTCAATTCTTTCACAGAACTTTTCCGTAGGGGATTCCGAAAAGGATACTAGTGGGTGTATATATATATATACACACACACACATATATATATATATAATAAACGGACGATGCACTACTTTGGACGTATAACTAAATTTGAGGGTAGGTTGGTAGAGATTCTAATGTGGAATAAAATCGAATCGGGTATACGCGCACCCAACGCTTGGTATTGCTGGCGCACAGAAATATAGTTAATAAAAAGGGAAACAAACAAGGATAATAAAATTTTTTTTTAATTTTATAAAGACAAGTATAGATCGATATGTACGTAACCTTGCTAACTATAGTAACATAGAAAGTTTTATTGCTACAAAAAGTATTAAAACAAAAACTGAGTTACTCAAAATTAAAAAATAAGTGTATTCCTACTTTAGCTTAGACTAACATAACTACAGTGATTTGCCAAAGTAGGGATCACTTTTTCAAACTTTAAGTAATTCAGTTTTTCTAGTTTGACTCTCTTGTTTCAATATTTTTGTAGCATTAACACTTTCTATATTACTATAATTACCTAGGTTACGTATATATCGATCCTTACGTGTCTATAAAATTTATATTTTTTATTATACTTTTTATCTACATAGTACTGGTTCTTAAGTCTTAGTTTACATGCTAATTTATATGGTTAAAGTCGCTAAGAATAACAAATGAAACTATATTGCACAAATAAGAATCTCATTGAGCAACACCATTGAATGAATGAAATTGTTTCTGTTATAGCTGTGACTCAAAGGACTGTCACTGATCCTGATGTTACTACACCAGAAGAACATACTGTCATCACATCAGAAGAACCTACTGTCACCACATCAGAAAAACCCCTAACAACAGAAGAACCTACTGTCACCACATCAGAAGAACCCCTAACAACAGAAAAACCTACTGTCACCACACCAGAAGAACCACTTACAACAGAAGAACCTGCTGCCACTACACCAGAGAAACCACTTACAACAGAAGAACCTACTATCACTACACCAGAGAAGTCACTTACAACAGAAGAACCTACTGCCACTACACCAGAGAAACCACTTACAACAGAAGAACCTACTATCACTACACCAGAGAAACCACTTACAACAGAAGAACCTACTGCCACTACACCAGAGAAACACTTACAACACAAGAACCTATTGCCACTACACCAGAGAAACCACTTACAACACAAGAACCTACTGCCACTACACCAGAGAAGCCATTTACAGCAGAAGAATCTACTGCTACTACACCAGAGAAACCATTTACAACACAAGAACCTATTGCCACTACACCAGAGAAACCACTTACAACAGAAGAACCTACTGCCACTACACCAGAGGTGCCACTTACAACAGAAGAACCTACTGCCACTACACCAGAGAAACCATTTACAACACAAGAACCTATTGCCACTACACCAGAGAAACCACTTACAACAGAAGAATCTACTGCTACTACACCAGAGGAGCCACTTACAACAGAAGAAGCTGTTGCCACTACACCAGAGCATCCACTTACAACACAAGAAACTACTGTTACTACACCAGAAAAGCCACTTACAACACAAGAAACTACTGCTACTACACCAGAAAAGCCACTTACAACAGAAGAACCTACTGCCACTACACCAGAGCAGCCAATTACAATACAAGAACCTACTACCACTACACCAGAGAAGCCACTTACAACAGAAGAGCCTTCTGTTATTACAACTGGTGCAACATTGGCAACTAAAGAGTTTACAGTAACTACATTAAATGCTGTAGAAACAACTGATGATTCTGCTATAACTACGACAGATGAACTAAACACAACTGAAGAGTCTATTATCACAATGTCAGATGAGCCAAGTGCAACTGTAGAATCGGGTATCACTACATCAGGTGAACAACAGACAACTACTGGTCTTGCTACAACTACATCAGGTGAACCAATTACAACAGAAGAATCTGCTATAACTACCTCAGGTGAACCAAGCACAACTGACAAATCTACTGCCACTACATCGGGTGAACCAGGCACAACTGAAGAACCTACTATAACTACATCAGGTGAAACAAGTACATCTGAAGAATCTGCTTTCACTACATCAGGTGGACCTGGTGCAACTGAAGAACCTGCTATAAGTACATCAAGTGAAACAAGTACAACTGAAGAATCTGCTTTCACTACATCAGGTGGACCTGGTACAACTGAAGAAACTGCTATAACTACCTTAGGTGAAACAGTTACAACTGAAGACTCTACTGTCACTACATCGGATGAACCAGTCACAACAGAAGAACGTATTACTACTACATCTGATGAACCAAACACAACTGAAGAATTTATTTTCACTACATCAAGTGAACCTGAGGTAACTGATGAACATACTGTGACCACCTTATCAGGACAAGAAACAACGATAGGTAAATTGGTAAAAATTTATCAATTTAAAAGGACGAAAAAAAATACATCAAAAATGACGTTTTTGAAATATTTTTAAAATTTTTAAGTGAAATTTTAACACAGTCAAATTCTATTTCACTGTTATCTATCTCTTGTTTTAACGGAAGTTTAATGTTCTTTCCTTTTCCAGCTGGCTGCCTCGTCGATGGCCGCCATTTTGTTGATGGAGACATTGTTGATTCGGATGACCCGTGTCAGCAGTGCTACTGTATTAATAGCGAAATTGTGTGTGCAACACAAGAATGTAGGCCACCAAGAAAGGGCTGTAAACCTCTACCACCGAAAAAGGGACAATGTTGCCCGGATAAGTATGAATGTCGTAAGTCTATATTTTTAATAGATATTGTTTCAGTAAAGAAAAATAAAGAATGAAAATGCGTAATTATATGTATATTTATTTTCAATGTCCTAGGAGAGCAAACAATATTAAGTTACAAAAAAAAAGAACAACTAAAAGATAATAATCCTCAATAACACAAATTAACCAAAAACATTATTAATTAGCTAGGCTTGAAATAGATGAGATAATATTAATGACCAGAATCAATATAATATGAGATTAACAAAATACCTAGAAATGATGTGGTGCCAATTCGCCCTCGGCAGAAAGATATAAGGAGCTAACTTTGTGTATTTTGCAGTTTAAAAGACACATTTACTATTGACGTAAGTAATTTTTGTCTTAGAAACGCAAGTTCACGTGTAACAATACCAGTACTTACGCTATGCGACTGCTTTCCTATCGGGCATGGTTAGGTGGTTAGGGCGCTCGGCTAGCAATCTACGGGTCGCGGGTTCAAATCCCCGTCACACCAAACATGCTCGCCCTTCAGCCGTGGGGGTGTGTGTGTTATAATGTGACGGTCAATCCCACTATTCGTTGGTAAAAGAGTAGCGCAAGAGTTGGCGGTTGGTGGAGCTGCCTTTCCTCTAGTCTTACACTGCTAAATTAGGGACGGCTAGCGCAGATAGCCCTCGTGTAGTTTTGCGCGAAATTCAAAACAAACAAACAAGCTTTCAGGTTTACGAAAGTTATAATGTGAAATTTTGTTAAGTCTTCTGTTCTTTAGCCGTGTTGATATAGCAAAGGAAACTTGTATTTGAATGTCTTTAAAGCCTATCTACCAATGTTGAACATTTTACTTAACTTATTATCGTACTTTAATCTATATTGTTAAGCTAGTTTTTCAATGTTCAACATGTTTTACAGGTCATTATTGTATTCTATTGCAAATATATTTGTTAAGCCTGTTTTGCAGTGTTGAACACGTTACGAAAACCATTACCGAGTTTGAGCAAGTTTGTTGTAACACATTATGTAACTTTTGTAACATGAAATAAATACCTAAACAGTATATTTTCTAGGGTTATAATAAATGTTCTACTTTATGATGGTGACTCATCGTTGTATTCTTGAGTCATGTTTTGGTTAACTGTTAGCTTACTTGTAAACAATGTCTCCCTTTTAGATATTGAATACTGTATAACTATTTTTGTTAGCATGTGTTTATATTTTTAAATTACGGTTTAGACGCCGAAAGCTAGCGAAGCATTATTTTACTAAATGGGATTCAGGTTCGAGACTAACGAGTTATAATTGGAAGTTACGTCACGAATGTTGATTATTCTTGTGATGCACAGTACAGATTTTTCCAGTTTTAAATGAAAGATGCAAATATGTTCGACTGTAGCTGGCTATATAACGATGTGGTCTTTGTTTCCAAGGCTAATAACTAAAAGAAAAAACACGCAGTAGAAAAACGCAGTAGAGATTATATCATATTCTACTCTGAAAAAAAAATCTATAACGGCAGGTATATATATAGTAAAATATACACACAGATGAGAAGTTAAAGCAGATCAGCTGTTATGGCTATAACGTGAGAAATTAAATATCAAGTCAAAAACATTTAGGATGTTTTTGGTGTAAAGCGCTGATACAACTCTCCAGACATTCTCACCCACAGTTGTAGACACCCATAAGCTTCGAAGAAACGTTACTAAAGCGCAACGTGTTTAGTAGAACATAGTTAAGTAAAAAACAATCACGACGATGTTTTTCCATTAGCTCCTACCTTTTATTGGGTCTTTGATAGCAACATGTGCTATATTTAGAGACTAGAGCTTATATTATGTAATAACTACATAGTTAACATTAAATCTTATTGTGTGAAAACATTGACTTTTATGCTGAGGCTAACTTTAACTGCTTGTGAACAAATCACTATATTTAAAAATTATTTTTCAGAACCGATTGCAATCACCGAGTTGCCAGAAATTTACATACCAGAAAGTACACCTCCCGATGTTACTCCTGATGAAACATCTGATGTCAAGGAGAAAACCTTTAAAACTCCCATCAGTACAGTGGCTGTAACAGAGAAAGCTGATTTCAGTACAACGTATCGGGATCCTCTCCAACATCCTACCAAAACTTATCCATACACAACAATCCTCACTACTAAATCCGAACCAACTACAACTGAACATCCGGGTAAGAACCACCCACCAGCACCATGCGAATCGTTTTTCCGTTTTGCTTTTAATAACTGATTTCCAAATATATATAATAACAATAACAGTATAATAATTCTATTTCTAAGCCTTTAATTAAGCCTAAAATGGTTTTCTTTTAGGGAATATGTAACGAATTAGTTTTTACACAGAACATGTTTTTCTATTATATTTAAAAATTCAATAATATTTTTTTTTCCGATTTTAGAGTGGCAAACATCTTCTTCAGGATTTCCTTTTATTATTCCCGAAGGATGTAAGTAAAACTGTTTGCACGTAAAAAATAAGAATACTAAATAAGCTTTTAAATATAGTACATAGGGCAATGAATCATTTGACATTGAGAAAAATATTATTTATGTATTCACAAACTAAATTAATTTGATGATTATTCTTCATTACAAAAGCACCTATCTGGATTTTGATGTACTTTTAATGGAAGTTCTCTCTTCGTGGTTTTACCTTATTTCCTTAGACACATTTTTAGCTTTCATAAAGGAGTCTCTAGCGATACAATTTTCTTACCACAGTGTCAGTTAAAACACCATAATTATTGCAATATGTAAGATAACTGACATATGTTACTTTAGATTCGTTAGTGTATCACGTAGAATTGTTAGGATTTATATTTTCGCTAAGTAGCCGTAAATCGTCATCTCTCACCACTAATTACCAAATCTCACCAGCAACTATCATATCATTGACAATCAGATTTAACAATGAATAACCATATTTTACAATTAATCACCGTATCCTATCAATTGTCACCTTATGCCACCATCACTTACAATATCTAAATACCAATCGCCAAATGTTTCTACTAATCAATATATCCCAGCAATAATCATCATGTCCCATAACAATCGCCATATTACAGCAATAATCCCCGTATCCGAGCAATATTCGCCATATCCAGCAATAGTCACCATTAAATCCCAAAGCTCACCATAAATCACCATAGTCCATCTCTAAACATCACATGTCTCTATCAGTCATCTCAACACTAAACGCCAACTTTCATCGTAAAGCAGCATTTCTCACCAATAAATACCAAATTTTACTAGTAACGACTACATCCCATCAATAAACATTATATGCCGTCACTAATAAATAAATCTCATTACTGTTAACCAATTCCAATCTGTTGCCAACGAAGAAAGCTTTTAGATCTCGACAAATGAATTTATAATTTGACCTTAAAATTGTGACGTTTCTTTACTGTCCTTCTCTTTTTGATTCTTTACTATATTTTCATATTCTAGTCGATTAAAGCAAATACCGTGAAACTCTTTTACAGCGTGCATATATGAGAACCGAATCTTTGAATCTACCAAGCAGATTCCGTTCCCAGATTCTTGCAATTACTGCTTCTGCTATGAAGGGAGTATTTTATGTATTCGCCAGGAATGTCCACCACCATCATTAGGATGCTACGCAACAACAATTACAGGCTACTGTTGCCCACTTTATGAATGTCGTAAGTGTCACACATAAGGTTTTTAAACATCAGTATATCTCTAATATTATTATCGAAATCTTTCAATGTTCGAACACAAACAAACAAATTTGTACTAAAAAGAATCATTTGATTTTATGTTAGTTTTTCTGAACCACTAAAGAAATCAATTTGATTAAACTCTTACAAACTGTCCGTTTTTATTTTTGTTTGTTTACCGAATTCAATAATCAATTGTTTATCGCGGCTAGTATCTTACACTATCAACTAAACCTAATTATTAATTATTTGTTTATTACTAGTTATTATAATTATATAATTAGTGATTAATATCTGGTTATAAAAAAACTAGCTATCAGACTTAGGTGTGATCTTATAGGATACTACCATGATAACCTTATCGTAAGTACAAACACAGTTCATTTAACTTTTTTTTTCAATTAAATATCTATTTTCATGCGTATCTACAGCGTTGAAGAAGTTCAACGAAACAAAATCGATTTTTAGAAGCCGGACACAAACCAGACTGGCAAGGATGGTGATGCCCACCTCACAAGTGGGAGGTAAGTTTCAGAACTTAGCTTAAGGTTACGCATAACCCAAATCTAGAAAAATGTGCTCAAATGGCAGGGTGGGTCTTACCAACTGTTGTAAATATAGTGTGTGTATTTGTATGCGCTGGACATGCATTTCTATTCTGTTCTAGCTTTCAATTATAATAATAATATTATTATTAACTTTTTAAATTTTAGACTGGGAAACATATTCTAAGGATTCATTTTTATCTTTGGGTTAATATGACCTCTATTTGCATCGTACTGCTGGTTAAAAACGCTCTTATGGCTTATGCCCCTCCCCAGTGGCACAGCGGTACGTCTGCGGACTTACAACGCTAGAAACTGAGTTTCGATACCCGTGGTGGGCAGAGCACAGATAGCCCATTGTGTAGCTTAGTGCTTAACTTCAAACTTAGGACTTATGAACTGAGTTATTTATTTAGTTTGCAACGCGGCACACAAAACGTCCTCATAAGTTCACCCAACAAAATTGTGAAATTCAAAATATCTTCCATATCCTTTTCTTCGACAAAAAGCTAGTATAAATATGTTCAAAAACTCTAGGTTTAGCTTCTTGTGTAATGTACAATATTGGTTAATGTAACGATGGCAGGTCTGGGCCTCTTTTCATACTGAGAGTCATAGTGTCATTATAACAACGATAATTATTAATAAAAAGCAGCTCACTATAAAATCCTATTGTAATTAACTACTGAATTAATAAATTGCAGTCAATTGGAATTAAACCTAAGTAAAAAGTGACTCTTCCACGGGAGCTATCATCCCTTATTCAACATCAATTATATCTTGTAAATTCCGTTAAAAACATTTTTATCGCAAAATTTAACAGTGAGAACGGAATGACTTCTTGGATCCAAATCGTCAACTTTCGCACCGTTATGCTCAGCGTGAATATTTCAAAATTTGTCGTCAAACATGTATAATGTCTGTACGGGAACATGTGGTTGGGACGTTAAACACTTGCGAGGCCTATTTTATAATTGGTTTTCTATAACTGGAATTTGCACACACTTAAATATACTTCATTCAATTTTAATGAAATCTTTGTTTGTATTATGGTAAAATATTACAGCTTTGAAGCAAAACCTGTAATAAAAGAAAACGGGTAAAAACGTTTATTCCTCGCCCTTCCAATAATTCCATCATCATGACGCTTTTAGGGCTATATTACTGTTCATCGCTTACAGTGCTTGTGATGAATGTACAAACGCCCTAACATAATTGTCCTCCTCAGCATTTTGAAAGATTTGCGAGGGTTATCTCAGTTGACGTTTATTAGCAAATTATTTATCCTCAAAGTACCTAAAACTATAACTTTAGCAATTCATATGGGTTTAAAAACAATTTAGAGTGAAAAGGTGATTCGTGAATTTTCATAAAGAAATCGAGACTTGAAATAAAACAAGAGGGAATTCTCAATAGGCAGGATTAGAATAAATTAATCTACGAGACCTTTTTTTTTCTTTTTATTAGCTCTATTTTATGCTCCAGCAATAATAAGCGTAGGGCGCGCATATACCTGATTCGATTTTATTA